TCCCCCCCCCAGATGGGGGGCCCGGCCCATTCATCCACTCGGACAGCAATGGTTACAGGCCTGCTGTGGCCAGGAACACAGAGGCCTGGGGGATCGATGCCGAACATTAGAAAATGAAAATAAGCCCGAGCCGGTTTGGCTCAGTGGATAGAGCATCAGCATACGGACTGAAGGGTCCTGGGTTTGATTCCAGTCAACGGCACATGCCCAGATTGCACAGGCTGGATCCCCAGTAGGGAACATGCAGGAGGCAGCAGATCAATGATTCTCTCTTATCATTGATGTGTCTACCTCTCTCCCTCTCCCTTCCCCTATTTAATCAATAAAAATATATTTTTGAAAAAGAATGTTTACCATGGGCTTACGGCCAGTAAGTGGCAGAATTGGGATCTCTGCTTAGGAGTTATTTTTAAACACATTTCTTTAATTCTAGCCAACTACCTTTTTGGTTTATTTATAGCATTTGCCATTTTCTCTGAGTCTTTTCAATTTTTAACTTACCATTTTGCCTTTATATCTGCAAATCTTCACTATCTAAAGAATAGAAATTTATAAAATCAGAACTTCATTATTTTATTTTATTATCTTGAGGAGTCATTAACTATTCAAGAAGGTACATTTATTTTAGATCACTAAATACATAAAATGGACTGGGTATGTAGAATATATCATGCACACATATAGGAGAACAGTAGTAAGAAATTCATTTAATAACAAATGAAGCAATTTTCAAGTTACTTGGCGCCTAAGGACAGAGAAAGTGATGAAAGATGAGCTTGCCTCCCAACTGAACACCATGGGACACCCAGGTGAGAGCCCTGCCTGCTCCTTGGTTGGATGCCACCTCCTTGGCAGGAAACTGGGCTATGCGACTGAAAATCCTAGAGGACCAGGTTTTGTTGGAAAGCCCATATTTAGCATTTCTCAGCATATGCTTCAGCTACCAGTGCTGCAAGTCCATTTGAATCATTCTGAGAATGAGTTTTGGGCAATGCTGCACTTTTATTCCCATGGCCAAACTAAGAGCTACATATGCATGTTTCGGAAGAGAAGAGTGTGTTGTAGGGGAACCAAAGGAAGGGACAGGGATTTGGGATTCAGGGCATGGCCTCAAGATATAAAGTTATGTGCGAATCTAAGAAAGCATCATATTAAAAAATAAACTTACAAAAGACATTCATAAACAATGATTATTTGCATTACTACATAGATCGACAGCTCTGGCTCTTTAGATACTTGCCTTCGATTCACTTATTCTACTCTTGTCAGCCCCAACTCTCTCCTGGGATGCTATGACTAGGACTCTGCAAATTAGATTTCTTATTTGTTAAGTTTTGCTAATAAGGGATCCTGGAGGAGGTTTGAGGTAGGTGGATGAGGAAAGGAATGTCAATGTCTTGGTTTTATTTGTTAGACAGCACACCCTCACAGGTATCAGCTGTGTCCAGGTGGTAACCTTTCCACTGTGGCTGAGCCCCAGCTCTGCGGGCCCCTCCTACAAGCTCTTAAGTTGGGCAGCATTTCCTCTTTAGAGCAAAAACTCTAATGTATAGTGTCCCTATCTCCAGTGTCCCTCCTGGGGTCAGTAGGTGCTACCTGCAACCATTATCTCTGGGTTACATCAGTGATTCCCCTTTTCTTTTCGCTGCCTTCCAAAATCTGTGCAACGGTATCCCATATTAAATATTTCTGGTGAAATATCTAGTGTGGTGTCTATTTTTTTTTTTTACCACCAAGCAATAAGGAACCTTTATTTTTAAGGTGATTCTGTACATCTGGAGCATGAGAGTAAACCTTTTACAAATGGAACTGATTACTAGAAGAAACAATGACAAAACCAAGCTGGTATTTGATGTGAATCCATAGGAGTGGAAGCTTCAAATCCAGCCAAGAAGTTAGTTACAATTTTTTTTTCAGCTTTGCATCTGACTGTTCTGAGATCTTTCCGTCAGTCCTGATATAGCCCAACAGGGTTTGGTGTTGGCTGATAACATGAGACAAGAAAGCCCTCTCAAACTTTGTGATCTTCCTCGGCTCCAGTTTATCAAGATACGCTCTTACACGGGCATAAATAACAGCCACTTGCTCTTCAATAGCCACGGGAGAATACTGTCCTTGCTTCAGCATTTCAGTCAGACGTACACCACGACTCAATAGTTGAGTGGCAGCATCAAGATCAGAACCGAACTGAGCAAAAGCAGCAACCTCATGATACTGAGCCAATTCCAGCTTCACGGGACCTGCCACCAGCTTCATGGCCCTGGTTTGGCAGCAGATCCAACACGGGACACAGACAAACCAATGTTGATGGCAGGGCGAATACCTTTGTGGAACAATTCTGTTTCCAAGAAGATCTGTCCGTCAGTGATGGAAGTGATATTCATTGGAATGTAAGCAGACACATCACCAGCTTGTGTTTCTATGATTGGTAAAGCAGTCGAGGAGCCACCACCAAAAGAATGGTTCACTTTGGCTGCTCTCTCTAGCAGACGGGAGTGTAGGTAGAACACATCACCAGGTGGTCCGTGCAGCAGCAAAGACACCTGACGATAAGCAACAGCCTGTTTGGATAAGTCATCATAGATGATCAAAGCATGTTCGCAATTATCCCTGAAATATTCTCCCATGGAACAGCCAGATAAGGAGCCAGGTACTGAAGTGGGGCAGTATCAGAAGCGGTAGCTGAAACCACAATGGTGTACTTCATGGCATCTGCATCTGTAAGTCTCTTCCCCAACTGGGCAACAGTGGATCTCTTCTGACCAATAGCAACATAGATACAGTACAGCTTCTTCTTTTCATCAGTTCCATCACTGAAACGTTTCTGGTTAATGATTGTGCCAATAGCAATTGATGTTTTGCCAGTTCATCAATGATTTACTAAATGAATAACTAAAAGACAACCCTAAAACAGCAAAATACTATTTTATAATTTACCTTTAAGCCTGAAGAAAACTCTACCATTTCTTCAGCTTGAACATTCCTCAGCCCATGTACTCGGGCAATACCATCACCAATACTTAAGACACGCCCAGTCTCTTTAAGGTCAACAGAGGTATCAGCTCCAAAAATTCGCTCTTCAAGAATAGAGGACACCTCGGCAGTGCCGATCTTCTGAAGACAAGTGTTAGAGGCATGGAGATTCCCTGTAGCAATGAAGGATGATCCCACAGCATTTTTGGAGACCAGTCCAGCCCGCCAAGGGAGGGCGCGGGCTACGGCCCCACCGACATGCACCGACAACATCATTGCAGCTCCTCAGAAGTTCCTCTGCAGCCGCAGCCTCGGACTGACTGGGATCTCTATTTTTCTGACTAGATACTGATAATATGCATCAGTAGTGAGTTTTAAAGAAAATTTCCTCTGCTTAAAAATCAATGAACTAAAGAAAACTATTCAGAAATATCAGGAAGATTTGGTCCATCTCTTTTAGATAATTGGTGTTAACCTATATATACTAGATAGAGAGAAAAATAGAATGTAATGTTATATATATATATGTGTGTATATTGATATGCTAAGGTTACTCAACTGCTCACTATGAGGTCCACTGACAACCAGGGGGAGGACACTCCAACCGGTAGGTTAGCTTGCTGCTGGGGTCCAGCCAATCAGGATTGAGTGAGATGGGCCAGGCATGCCCTGGATCCCTCCTGCTGTCCCTCCTAAGCTGGCCAACCTCCCACGTTCCTCCCCAGCCTTGATCATGCACTGATGGGGTTCCTTGGCCTGGCCTGCACCCTCTTGCAATCTGGGCTAAGGACTCCCTTCCTCCATGCCCCATGCATGAATGTTGTGTATCAGGATATATATATATATATAAAGTAATCTTTATTTAGTGCTTTACAGCTGATAGATAATTTCTTTTTAACATCTGTTGTTAAAATATTAAAATCAAGCCCTTCCAGATAGAATCTGCTATGATTATTATTTTATAATGTGGAGTAAAAGTTAAACTTACTGAGAACAGGTTAATTTATTTGTGACAAAGGTGAATTTCTTCTATATTTAGCAATAAAATCCAATACATTTCTGGACATTAACTTACGTTTACAAGTACCATGTGACTGTATTAAGTATAAATAAAGACACATTTATTGACTGTGTTCTCTTTAAATTTCCAATAGGTTGGGAAATAAAGGAGTAAAAAGTTCACCTGCCAAATGTGATTAGGGTTTAGCCAGAATCAAACTGGTTAGGAGAAGTAGAGGTGATAGGTTACATTCACTGAACTTTTTATGTAAAAATACAAATCACAAATGAGGCTAGATTTCTCTAATGGGTACTTTAGACCTATTCTTCCTATTATCCATCAAAAGAATAAAATAAATTCAGTTTGGACCATCTATCAAATACGAACTGTTGGCAAGGATTCCATAGCAGTGGTAGAGAACAGATGTTTACCTCTGTTCTACCTCCTTAGCAGGGCGAGCTTTCCACAGGCAGGTTTGATCCTCTGTGGGCCCAGGTATTGTGAAATTAACGTGCCCCAATAGTGTTTGGCAAGGTAGCTAAAGAAATATACATATTGCCCCCTTGTCACTCTGTGAGAAAAGGTTTTGTATTTGAATTTAATTGTTCAGAAAATAAAAGTTTTTTTTTCAAATATAGCTCAATATTCCCTAAATTCCTAAGTATAGCAACAGCAACAAAATATTTTGATTTCAGTATTACAATTTTAGCAGAAAGTTTTGCCAGTAAGTGCATGGAGAATAATATAAGATTTACATTTTTTTAAATGAACAATGTGTTTCTTAACCTGTTTATAAGCCATTAATCATTTGCCTTTGGCATCTATTGCTTTTTCAAATAAAATCATAAAGTATTTCCATTAAAATTTAATAAACATTTATATTAATAAATACTAAAAATTTTTACTCTGGGGATGATCTTGCTAATGAGACCAGAAAGATGAACAATATAGAAATGGTTATACACCAATATTAAATTACAAACATATTAAAGTAAAATGACCAACAAAAGAAAAAATGATAAATCAGTTAATATTCCAAATGCAGGTCAACTTTATGTGCCATGCTGAATTTTTCTACTCGAGTTTCCTAAAGCTAATTCCAACATTAAATTACCTAACAGGAGTTATTGCATATTATATTGCAAAGGGCTTTCTGGACTTTGATTTTGAGCTTATTGCCCCAAATAGTCCTGGCTACGCTATATCCAATTCTATTGGACATTCAGTCCTCATAACAAATCTGTGTCTTGTAGACTTCTGACAGGAGGTAATATGAAAACTATAAAAAGAAATATTGTCCTCAAAAATGTCTTTCTAGTCAAGTCTATTTTTCTCATAACTAAATATGGTCAAGAAGATGAAGAGTGAAAAAGAGGATCATGAGATTCTCCAAGTCTGTGGCAACAATTAAACTGATAAATACTCAAATATAATCTTTTATCACTTCACCCCCAAAGTAATGTGATAGATTACCTCATATCCCCATCAGTTAAGGGCTAGCAATTAGAGGAAGACTGCTCTGAAGTAATTAGTACCAAATTTTCCTCAACACTTCTCACATTTACCTAATGTAATGAAAAAGATGTTGAGATTTAAACAAGGGTAGGCAATAAAAGTGAAGAAACTTCATTCATTAATTCACTGAATTCATTGATCCATCTATTTGTCCTACAAAATGTTAGTGAAAAATGTGGA